TGAATGAGAATCACTAATAAAATCAATGGGGGCCCCCTTGAGGTCCCCTGGGCACGTGCCCTGCGTGCCCAGCCGGTATTCGGCCATGATTAGATAGCTGGCTAGACTAACTACAAATCTAAAAATTGTTAGCTGACATGGCTAATCGAGTGACTGTCAGTGACTAACATAACATAACAAGAGAAAAACTACTGATGCACAACCAAATTTCGAAATTGCGCCTGGTTTATTCTACTATTATTACACTCAATAGTAAGTTGAGACCCCGACTGAGTTCCTTAAAAAAAATCGTCCAGGAGCCCTAAGCGCTGGGGTTGGATGTGTGGAGAGTCAGTGCAAATAGTCTCTAGGTGCAGATAGTCTTTAAGGTGCAAATAGTCTCTAGGCGCAGGTCTGAGCAGGTAGACAGCTAGGGTTGGCTGTTCAGCAGTCTGATGGCCTGGTGGTAGAAGCTGTCTCAGAGCCTGTTGGTCCGAGACCCGGTGCTCCAATATTGCTTGCCAGATGGTAACAGAGTGTTATAACTAGGATATTATAATAGGAAAAGTGTTATGTCATTTCTCAAGTGTCACGAGCGCGCACTCTCTCTCTCTCACACACACACAGGCACACACACACACAAACATGCACACTTCTCTGTGATTGTGGAAATAGGGTGTCTATCCTTAGTTAAAGGCTATTGGGCTTGTGGCTATAACTTCCAAGGAAAAGTGAAACGACGAGTGACAGGCTAATGGTCAAATGGAATTGAGTTTACAAGGTCATGATCGATGACTAGTGCCCTGTCGGGATCGATCACCTGACTGGGTGCTTCGCCACAATCAGAACATAGTCGCTGACCCTGGCTTCGTAGATGGCCCCAACCAACGGCCCCCTATACCCACGAGGCATTTTAAACAGAAATTAGCGAAATGGAAAAAGATCTCATTACACAGTTGCAATCTGAACAGGCTTCCCACAGCTTAAATGACTGGCGCAGAAACCATCATTACCACAGCCCGGTGCAAATCGCTTAAAAACGAACATACCATATACCATATAACAGCCCTAGTGAAATACTATTTATCTTGTCTCCCATGAACCTCACTGGCTGTTTTATCTAAAGCAGGCTTTGTAAAAAAAATATTTAAAAAAATAGCCTACACGTCTGAATATGTCTAAAGGTAATTGGTTTTAAATATATTAGGACAAAGTAAGATGGAATTAGATAACTGTTATAACAGCCTATCAAAATTGAAACTTTTGCAGTAGCCTAAGATTTTTTTCATATCTAACCGCACCATTGTTCAAATAAGGGATCCATTGCTCGAGGAGAAAACAACAAATTATTCACTAAATATTTTGTTGGTGCAAAAGGCAAGAAAACATGTAGCTCCGTTTTTAGAAATAAAGTGGTAAAGATGTAGCATAGATCCAGTGATTCATAATAATTGTCTACAAGGCTGAGGATAAAAAGAAACAATATGTCCTCTATGGTTCTCCTTTACAATTGTATCTAAATAACATGTTTTGTTTAAGATCTAAAAAATATAATCTCTTCAAATGTGTTTGGAAAATGATGTTACATAGTATTTATATGTTTATTTGATGAAATATAATGTTTAAACTTGATCTGAATGTGTAGTGCCGCAGCGAGCCACGCGAGTCCAAAGGAGCGCTCATTGAGAAGCCACGTGTCCGTTTCCAAAGCCTCTCCAACTTAACCACCTCCATTGTAAGACTAACCCACATCGGCAGCGTCCCTCCACATAAAGGGATTTGCAATTTCAAGATATCCCAGCTTAAATGTTTTTGACAGTTCCCTCGCTTTTGCTTCGGCTTGGTTATTTTAACTGTGCCAAATGGGTCACCTTGGGTAGCTGTCTGCGCGCAAAGGGCTTTTGCGCGCATTCAGTCTGAATTTTTTCCAACTTTCCTTGACGTGGAAACCAGCTGCTGGTCGTGAAAAGACGGCTTATTAATTGTCCTTTGTCATGTAGAATTGCTTGATTTCTAAAGAAACGTACAAAGGCTCTTTTTCAGGATTCAAGTATTTTGTTTCGTGCGCATTTTCAAACCATCGAATCAGCTGCAGCGCCGCACCGTCTACCAGACTCAGGTACTGACGGCTTGCTCCCATTGTCCGCGACTCCGCGCATAATGCTCTTGTAAATCGGGCAGACTGATTTGTTACAAGCTGCTCTTTTAATCTGATAGATAAGAGACATGTCTAAGAAAAGCCGTAAATGAAAAATTTGTTGGAATAAAGACAAGGGAAAGTCTGCTAGATGGGCGCCTGTTGACTCAAGCGGCCCTCGAGCGTCGGGTAGCGCTCTCAGCAGCCCCGTCAATGTCACGTCAACAATTCGCTTTTCTTCTCTTAAAAAGACACTGTAGCCTTTTTGCTTCAATGAATTGATCAGCACAAAATTAAGAATAAATAAATTTAGCATTTGGAGCACCGGGCTTATAAACTCCCCCAGGGCGCATACCCTCGGGCTATTGAATGGATAAAGGGCGCTTTACAGGGGACGCAGTGAGCAAAATGGGTCTCTATGGTGCAATTAACAAAATGGTCTAATCCCATATCTTAACAAATGCAAATATTGGAGTTTTGTTAAAATGTTTAAGTGAACAATTAAATCAAAGTTTACAAGTGCAACTTCTCGCCCAAAGGCACAATAACGTGAATAATTCAGTAAATGTGCAGTCCTAGAAGAGTCTTTGTTGTCACCGAGGGCTGATGATACGTTTCCAGAGAAGTAAATAGCATTTAAATCCTATTTTAATAAATTGAATGTAGTTTTGAGAAGCCAGTAATGAACAAGGAGAGCATGTTGCGCGAGTAGGCTACATGGCAGGCTTATTTACAGTCTTGGTCCCGTTGTCACCCCATAGTCTCCCAAACCACGCACCTTTGAGAAATGTTTTCATATGCAGTAACTTGATATGCATTCTCTCTATATTAAGTGATTTTTTTCATCATGACTGCTTTTTGACAGACAGGCTACTAATAGAATAGCCTTCCCAAAACAACCTATGCTTTGGGTTGTCTGTCCCTAAATTTGAGTGTAGGCTAGCTATATTTGAAAATGGTCTAATCATTCCAATTAAAATATATTAAATTGAAGTACATTTTAATGTATTTCCAGAATGACATGTAGCCTAACACATAGGCATAGTTGTAGCCTGTAGTTGTCTTCAGAATTGAGTTATCAGAAATAAAAACAACCTTGGAGACCAACGACGTTAACAACAGAATTACAGATCAACAGGAATGATATGGATAGCATATGGACCTTTGTCTTTGTCTATTTATTTAAATAGCCGACACAGTGATGAATGTATTCATTTGCTCACTTTCATTCACTCGTTAATACACCCCGTAGTGGTTATTAACTCCCTGGCACGAGACGGATCAGGACATTGGGATGAAGCGGATTTCTGATATGACAAGAGCGAGAGCCGCAGTGTGGAGCTCCGAGGGCCCCTGCATGCTAACTCGGGCTTTGAGAGCTCTCCCCAGGGAAAGCATGAATGTCTGGCTGTTAAGACTTCTTGACGGAGATTACCGTCCCCACAGCACTTGTCTTGAGAGAGGGGCACCATACATTTGGAACACTTTCACTCCTTGCGCACAGGCTTCTGCACAGTAACTGGATTCAAACGGGCATCTAAAATTTAGAGCTGCACCATTTTTATGTGGCAAGGGAACGCATGCATTACCAAGTGTATTTGTGCGTAATACTCAGTATTACCTACGGAAATTGCTTTTTCCCTGGACAGAAAAACGTTTTAGCTTCCAGCTTATTCTCTTCTATCCACTCTTGAAAGTAAACAGACCGTGCGCGTAAATGATGCACATGAGCTATCTGATATAAACCATCTCCTTTGGATTCATAAATTAATGTATAGGATCATGTATAGACTTAATGTATAGGCTATGTGAACATGCACACACAAATAAATGTGGAATGGACATCACTTCTTGCAACAAACACAACACGTATTCTGAAGGTGGCACAGTTTCACCAGTAAACGGACCCAAATGCCATGCCATATCCAACACTCCATAAAGTAGTTGGTAACATATTTTGAACAAAACACATTTACATTTTAGTCATTTAGCAGACGCTCTTATCCAGAGCGACTGACAGTTAGTGAGTGCATACATTTTCATACTTTTTTCATACTGGCCACCCGTGGGAATCGAACCCACAACCCTGGCGTTGCAAACGCCATGCTCTACCAGCTGAGCTCCACGGTGAGTCGTTTATCATTTTATTTTCTCCTTTTTATGAATGATGTCTCAAGTTAATATTCTGTTAACGTTTCCACACCGTGTTGTACAGTTGATAGTACGAATGAAGTCAGTGCGCAACAGCTCTGTCTGCGCGAATCCAGTGTCTGTGTGTGCGCTCCCAGTGTCTGTGTTTGCGCTCCCAGTGGTGCGCAAGTGTAAACCATTTGACACAGAGCCATGAGTATGTCACTAAGAAATATTCTTTATTTAAGTATTCACATTTTTAAATAAATAAATATTTTCAAATACACTGAAGATATAATAACAGTTTGATAAGCTATTAGTGATGTGACATTGTGAGGATAATTTCTTCGTCCCGCACACAATCCATATCCGTCACATTTCCATCCAAATAATGTGCTTAAAGCCAGTAATCACCATTATACAAAATACAGCTATTGTTTTACAAAAATAATACTAACAAATGTTGCTATTCACTTGGGCATATCATAAAACCGATATTCACCTGTCTAGCTGTAATATAATCCATTTGGATTGGCAACAACGAATGGACCGTTTTCAGAAAAAAAACTACATACAAAACGTACAACATTTATACAATTATACAACATTCCAGGGAAATTCCCTGTTTATATATTTTCTTCTCTTCCTATGTACAGGTGACTGAACAAGATAAGAACAGTCGACTTTTTGGCTGCATTCAGAATTCCACAGGTGCTATGAGGACCAATTGTCTCTGTTGAAGTTCAGGGGATATTCAGGGGGAGACGGACAGGTCTCCATCATCCTCTTTCCCTGATGAGGAGGGAGACATGGGCATGTCCTCTTCCTCCTCCGAGCACCGTGCAGATGACAGGGACGAGCACTTGCAACTGTGTGAGCCGGTTCTGTGCGCGCCGCTCTTCCCCTCCTTCTTGTGTTTGACTCTGCGGTTCTGGAACCAGATCTTGACCTGCTTCTCTGACAGGTTTAGATACGTGGCTATCTCAATGCGCCGAAGTCTGGAGAGGTACATGTTGGAAGTGAACTCTCTCTCCAACTCCAAAAGTTGCGTGCTGGTAAAGGCTGTGCGCATGCGCTTGCTGCTCTGAAGTTGGCTGTTGTTGTTTTCTGTAAAAGCAAAAAAATATACATTTAATTAAGTTATCCCAAATGCACAATAAAACACCAGAGTAAATGTTTATTGAGCTGATAAAGCTAATTCTGTGTAAAAGTATCAGTTGTGCATTCAATATGTTTTACTCACCGATGGAGATGCAGTGGAACTGTCGTGGGTCTGGAACCGAATAGGTTGCTTGATATATCCCCGGACCGTGGTTGAGGTTGACGCCGGCGGAGGACGCGTGGTGCCTCGATAGTGCAGAATGGCAGTACTGGGAGCCGAAGGTAGGGAAGGATGCCTTGAGGAGTGGCAAGGTCGGTGGAGACGGGTGGAGCTGGGATATGCATAGCGGACAGAAGCATAGCAAGCCAGCCTTCCGTGAGTGGCAAGAGCCTGCGGACAGCCCATGGAGGGGGTGAGACGGGTGCATAGCGTAAGGAAATAAAGGTGGATTGTTTTCCCTCCCTTTATCATTTGCCTCCCTCAAAATCAACGAATCCACAAGAAAGGACCTCGGCATCTTTGCAAACTTGCTGCTCAGTACTTGGTCAACTTTTTCAGTCAGCGCCTCGTCTCGTTATGAACTGCTTGCTTCGCGGGTGGACAGCGGAGTGGTGCTGAAAGGACACTGACGCTCTTTAAATAGTTGTAGTCCAGGTTCGGCCATGTGACGGTTACGCCGTGAGCGTCTAAGAGCTCTCAATAGGGTTTTGTGCCTTTTCTCTTGGCATTCACACTGCACGCTTCCCCATTATTTCACTTGTTAACTAAATGAACTGCATAATGTGGTCTATTCTTGTCAGCCCCACCCACGCCGCAAGAGGCGGCACTAACCCTTCTCCATTTTAGCTTCGCTCTTATTTATTATATTACGTTTTAATATCTATAATTTGAGAAATAAACATTTTGGCAATGTACTGGGGTAGCCTATTCTACTGGTCTTTCTGTTTTCAATAAATCGACTCATTTATGGAACACCACCAGAACTTATCCAATAGGCCTACACTTTCCTCATAATTTAACAACAGAGAATGTGTTTAACTCGATCAATCCATGAGTGAAAGTTGGCGAGTTGAGTGGTATTTGCTCTGCAATGTTTACGTTGAATAGGGTACACGTTTATATTTTCTGTAATCCAAGCATATATGCATATTTGCATGCCACACAAAAGATGCAGGACACAATAACCTCGTAGTCTCGAAATACAAGAAAAGGTTTGCATTTTATTCTAATTTAGGCTGGAGAGGACCTTCCTTAATTGGCACCGTTAAGGCTTCAATGTTTAACTTGCAAGTATGTCGTAATATTTGTGAACACATCACATATATCCCTATAGGACATATTAGGACCTATAGGTCTATACAATTGAAAATATAGGCAATATATATATTATTGATTGCTGCTAAAGTAAGGACTATCTGCAAACAAATAAGTGTTTAATTTAAAACGTGTGAATGTACTTGTCCATTTTGAGGCCAATGTATCATTTCTAGACACAGAAAGGACAAGTCACAGCCTGAAGGCAATGCGGTTCAAACCAGTGATTAATTCCTGTGCCCGGGCCCCCGCCGAGTCCGGGAAAGAATATATAAAAATAACCAGGTTTTCACTCGCCGGCCCTTATTGAATGTCATTGTGGAGTGTTTTCAATGCAAGAGAAAGAGACTCGAATTAAAGTGTGTGACAGCGGCGGATAGACGCACACAAAGGCGACTCTGTCACAGAGAAGCCGAATGCGTGCGCGTGAAAGCCCCCGCCTCGCTCTGATTGAATTAAGTAATAGGAAAACATTTTCTTTCACTTTAGGTCTTCTAAACAACACCTTCAAAGGGATGGGAACCATTAATGTGTGAGTAAACAGTGAAATGTGGTTTCTATTCCTCCCAGCCATATTGCCTTTATTTTATTTTTTGTTTTTGAATGGTCCCTAAAAAGCTTTCCTATTTTATTCACATTACTTCTTCTTTTTCTGAAAACATAGATGATGCAAATGTAAATATTCTTTCAAAATTCAAACAGTGCTTTCTCAGAGGAAGAGACAGAAAATAAGATGGATAATTGGTTATAATGCTTATAAACATATATAACTGGATAAAACCATAACATGAATAGGCCTATACGCGTTTGTCACCAGTTTGGGCTACTACTGGGGCTTCCTCATTTTTCATATTTTTTATTTTTTATTTTACATGCATGCTTTTTACCCAGGATGCTAGTGTGCTTTCTGCAATAAGTGCGCTACGGCAGGATGTCTAGAATTTTCTAATTCCCATGGGCATGGAATCTTTCCCACGAATGACAATACTAACTCTTAGGCTAAGGAAATATGTTGCAATGGGCTGTGTATAAATGAAATCGTATTATTAGAGTCTGTTCATTTTGCAAGGTGCCAAAAAAATCCACAACTTCTCATGTGTGCATGACCACATAGCACACTGGACACCTTTCTGGCTGCGATGTTGCAGAGTAAAATGTTGGTGTCACTGGTGGTCCTTGACAAGCGTGACAATTACCTGTCTGCTCACCGCTCATGCTTTTCAGTTCAGAACCGAGCCGCTCACATAATGGCTCTTCAGTCTAGAAGCAAGCCCGCCCATATGCAGCATACAAACCTATTTGTTTTATCTCCTGTAAAATGACCAGGGACTCTGCTCCGCGGAAAATACCACTCGACTTGCATTAAGGGTATAATTTGGTCGCAACTTTGCCGCACCATAATAGCAGGTCTTTACCGCACAAATTAGGAGCAATTAAACCCTTAAACAAGCTGTATGTACAGATTAATGCGGACAAGAGCCTGTTATCTGCAACAGAGTGGGATTAGGCCTTTCATTCTCTTGGACGCCGTATGCCAGGCGTCCTCCATTAACTAATAGGCCAATTTCGCTCCAGTCCCTTGACCAGCCACATCCCCTCTCAATTATATGCTGTATTCTAAACCTTAATTACAAAATGGGTTAATAATGTTGTGTTAATGTAACACATAATTAATTAAATGCCTTTCCTTATTTTCACAACAAAAATTTAGAACATTAGAGGCTCAGAGTTTGTTGGTGTATGATCTCACAAGGCACAATAAAATTGGTTTGGAATTGGTGCTGTTTCAACAGGTGGAGGGTTAAATAGAATTATCTGGTCACTATTAGAACAGTGACATTTGCTTGGCTGATTGGCGTTTAGAGTAGGCCCATTGCTTAAAGATATTATCAAAGGGAATCGTTTTCAAAATAACGGTCATAGCTGTCATCCCGTGGGTAGGAATATAGGGGTGCTGGGGGTCGCTACTTAGGGAGGCTCATCCTCATTTGTAATCCCAACTGGAGACCGACAAATAGCTTTGACCTCAGAAAACATGGCCCTCTGGAGGCGCAGGCCAGAAGTGCAAGAAATCTCATCCAGTATAATGACTTTGTTACTGAAACAAATCAAACAGCTACTCTGCAGCTGCCTGGCTGTGCAAAACAGCATACTCATAGATACTCTAGAGACTGTTATGAAGTCTTCATTTCATAAAGTAGGTTATAGCCTAACATTCATATAAGACAAAGCAATGACACATATTGTGAAACTAGAAACAAAAGCAGTGAACATCTACAAGTACAACAACAAATAGATTACTCACTCAAGTCAAACAACAAATACAATAAGAATCTGATAAACATTTAATCCAACCCAATAATAAGTATCCAATAGTGTGATGTCACAAACCAAAAAACAACAACTGAAATAGCCAAACTATAATCAAATATTCCAATAAACAATAGTCATGATTCCAGTTAAATATATTTTATGCATGATGATAATGATGATATTGCCCAGCACCTGCTGTGCCACCATAAAATGATATTTTCATGGGTTTGTGTGTCAGTCTTAAGATCTCCCATTTGATAAAATAAAGAGGGCACTCTGTTCATGGGGATGTAGTCAATATCTCATTTTCTTATAGTATGTATGAATTATTCATAGTTTTGAGACACTCCGCCCCCGCACTTAATATGTACACACATTTTACAGCCACACATCTCTAGTAGGAGGGATGGTCTTAGCTGACAGTGTAACAGGATTTAGGGTCCCAGTGGGGTTTGGCCGAGCCGGACGGGCGCTGTGACTGTCGATGTGACACAGAGGGCCGGCTGCCCCTCCTAATCTTCCCCTGAGGCGACTGCACAGACTGCAGGTCCTTCTGCACCACTATGGGTAGGCACACAAAGGCCTGATTATCATTCATATGCTCAGCAGAGCCACCAGTCCAACAGACGACACTGCTAACCCAACTACCAGCTGAGTAGTGCAATATGTATAGCACACCATGGGGACTAATGAATCCTTAAGTGTGTGTGTGTGTGTGTGTGTGTGTGTATCCTGCTCCATTTGGTAGCAATAAGAGTTATCAAGATTAACTTGAACATAGACAAGCACACATTTTGGCGCTGATGGTGGTTATTAGCCTACCAAACTTGCTAATGGCCCTAAAGTCAGGTGACCTGAATACTTCTGAAATCATGTGATATCATTATGACTAATCATAACAGCATTATACCATTTCATAATGCCCAATCAATGAATGCATCACTAAGCTGCTATACATGCATTCATAAGCCAATATATGAGAATAACAGTATTCAACAATAGTCAACAGTGCTCAATTCAATCAAACCCACATTGCAGTATCTACGGAGTTGCTGTTTTTCCCATGGTCAAATAGCAGAGAATGAATTTGGGTACTATAGGAACCAATTAGTACCCAGAAGACTCCCTTCAGAAGTAGATGTTAAAGTAGTATTTGGGGACAGTATTGAAAGGCAAAGACACTGAGTAAACATTGCTATGGCTGATTCGATTGAACAAATTCAGCATCTTGTCCTTGCTGAGGTCAGACCCTTTTCAATACAGTCAGTGAGATTATATGTATGGTCATGATGCTTTGATACAACAACTAGGCCTAGAATCTGTGTAGTTTACAGTGGAAACTCATGTTCGCTTAAAACTCCAATGCAGCCGTATTTATCTCAACAATTAAGTACCTTACTGTGATTGTTTTCAATCAAAATTTTCAAAAATAAATAAAAATAGCTTAGTAGGAAAGAGCAATTTCTCAAGCAAGAATTTAGCTAGGACTGTCTGGAAGTGGTCTGAGTGGGGAGGGGAACACTGAAAACGAACTGTTATTGGCAGAGAGGTTTGGAACGCTCTTGCTTATTGGTCTATTTACTCATTTACGGCCTGGTGATGTCACCAGGCAGGTCAAAACTCCATCCCACCAAAACAGGCAGAAATATTAGGTGGTCTTTTCAAACAGCTCTTACACTAAAAATGCATTATCATCATTTTCACAATTTCACAGTATTATTCCAACCTATAGTGAGGAAATACATACAGTATAAACACAGGAAAATCATGTTTTTGACCGCGCTAGGCCTTTAAGGCATTTTGACAAAATGCCCATCAAACTGTACTGAAGTATAGAGCTAATGAACGTTTGATAACGACACTCTGCATACATAATACCCTTTTGATGTGAATACATTTGGTATGGTATAGATATGTTTTAAAATGTCCCCTTTGGCTTTCATTCCCATATGAAAGCCTTGACTTGTTG